AAGGCTCACAAACGGCGCCCTCGCCACAGCAAAACAGCGGCGCCCTGAAGGACGGACCGAGCCTCCGGGCAACGGCTCCCAAACTAGCTCTCTTCCAGCCGTCAAGGCTCACAAACGGCGCCTCCGCCACGCCCAAACAGCAGGGTCCTGAAGGACGGACCGGGCCTCCGGGCAACGGCTCCCACTGCCTAACGTTGCTTTCTGAACCTACAAGAAAACTAGCTCTCTTCCAGCCGTCAAGGCTCACAAACGGCGCCCTCGCCACAGCAAAACAGCAGGGCCCTGAAGGACGGACCGAGCCTCCGGGCAACGGCTCCCAAACTAGCTCTCTTCCAACCGTCAAGGCTCACAAACGGCGCCTCCGCCACAGCAAAACAGCAGGGCCCTGAAGGACGGACCGAGCCTCCGGGCAACGGCTCCCACTGCCTAACGTTGCTTTCTGAACCTACAAGAAAACAAGCTCTCTTCCAGCCGTCAAACCTTCAAAAACGCGCCCTTTCCGGCCGTCACAAACATTCAAAAACGGCCGTGAGTGCCTAACGTTGCTTTCTGAACTGCCTAGAAACTAGCTTCAAACCTTGCTGTTTCCTGCCGTCAGCTCGAGTCCAAGGACCCTGTCGCGGGCCTCAAACACCATGGCAGTGAAGGACGGATCGGGCCTGCGGGCCACGGCCGTGAGTGCCTAACGTTGCTTTCTGAACCTACAAGAAAACCTTGCTGTCTGACCCAAAACGGCGCCTGCGCCACAGCCAAACAGCAGGGCCCTGAGGGACGGACCAGGTCTGCCGGTTCAAACCTTGCTGTTTCCTGGCGTCAGCTCGGGTCCAAGGACCCTGTCGCAGGCCTCAAACACCATGGCAGTGAAGGACGGATCGGGCCCGCGGCCGGCAGCCCATACTGCCAAACGTTGCTTTCTGCAGTGCCTAGAAACTAGCTTCAAACTTTGCTTTTCCCTGCGTTCCTGCACTGCCAACTGCCAACTTGCCTGCATTGTCTGACAGCTGGCTTTCGTGCGGCACAGCTCCGGTCAAGTCGAAACTAGCTTCAAACCTTGCTGTGTCTTGCCGTCAGCTCGAGTCCAAGGACCCCTCCGCAAGGACCCCTCCGCAGGGCCCCAACACCATGGCACTGAAGGACGGATCGGGCCCGCAGCCGGCAGCCCACGGTGCCAAACGTTGCCTTCTGAACTGCCTAGAAACTAGCTTCAAACCTTGCTTTTCCCTGCCACTTTGCCTGCGTCGTCTTGCAGCTCAAACCTAGCTTTTCCCTGCGTTCCTGCACTGCCAACTGCCAACTTGCCTGCATTGTCTGACAGCTGGCTTTCGTGCGGCACAGCTCCGGGCAAGGGACCTCCTCGCAGGGCTAAAACACCATGGCAGTGAAGGACGGATTGGGCCCGCGGCCCGTAGCCCAGAGTGCCAAACATTACTTTCTGTCGCTCGTTTACTCTTGCTTCTGCATTCTTGCTTTAACTTCTTGTTTCGTGCTTCTTTCGCTTGCTACGTTCGCTGAGACTGCCCCTCCTTTCTCGCTTCCTTTTTTGAGCTTCTTACTCTGCACCTGGCTTCCCTTTCTGTCCCCCCCTCGCTTGCCCCGCTACGTTCGCTGAGACTGCCCCTCCCTTCTCGCTTCCTTTTTTGGGCTTCTTACTCTGCACCTGGCTTCCCTTTCTGTCCCCCCCTCGCTTGCCCCTCACTTGCACTGCACAACACTTGTTGCTTGTAATCTCTTCTCTGACGCGCTCCCCCTGCTGTCGGCAGGGGTCGGCGGATTTTCTACAGGTCTTTGCTTGAATTTGCTCACTCAAAGCTGCGGAAATTTTTGTCACCAGGATCTCCCTCGAGTTGCTTCAAGGACTTGGAAACTGGCAAGGTGCGTTTCAACTCTATCTCAATGCGGGGATTTGAAGAGTTGGATTCCTGGCAAACAGCAGATCATCGAAAGATTTGCAAGAAGGCCTTCAGCACCTCGGATTCCGAATGGAGCAAAGGTTTGGAAAGGGATGGGAAAGCTGCGAGACATTTTGTGGTCAACTTCCCTGCATGTTGATCATTGGGTCGTTACTACACTTCTGTCTTGGTAGTTGTGGATTATACATGCTTATACGTTGTAGAATCGTTGTAGAGTTGTCAATGTTGTAGTTGTGATGTCTGTTTCACCCGAATTCACTGTGCACGTTTCATTCTTCCTTATCATGGATTCTAAGTGAATGAACATGCGTATTATATATAATATGTATAATATAGTATGACGTATGTATGCAATATATAAACCTATCTACCTATGATATGTGTGTATACATGTCCGTACACCGTTTGCGCATATTGGCACACCTAGACGATCCAGAAAATCTTATATGACATAAAGAATTAATGAAACCATTGTTTTTCTTGATACATCATGGTTAGTTGATCATTATAGGGGGTTATGATCTACCTGGTTCATTGGATCATTGTCACCCAAACATGGGATTTCCATGGATTTCCTATCTACCAAGCAGCATAAAAATGCCACGTTTGGCTGCTAGGTGGTCCTGAAGCTGAACCCTCCTGCAAGTTCACCGCCTTAGAAGATCAGGTGTGGCTAAGCCATTGCCTTTCTCTTTTTGCCATGGGGAAAGTCCCCAACTGTTGGGGAAATGGCAAAACACGTGGGACCAACGGTGGAAGTCTCGGGGAATCCGCTGCATGCGCAGGTCTTTTTGGGTGGCGTCTCCTACGACAAGGATGGTGGAAGCAGCGCCATCACCTTCATGCCGCCAGGGGTTTTCCAGATGGAAACCAAGATGCCCTTTGGCATTACAGAGATCAAACTCATCAGTGACAAGAATGCCACCTGCAAGATCAAGGGCAAGAACTACAAGCTGCGCCTCAGCGAAAAGGAGAGGTTTTAGTTTTCCATTGCCATTGGAGATGTGCTGGGTATAGTTCCCGGTTTCATCAAGTGGCAGGTGCTGATAATCCCCAATGGACATGAAACATGTGGTCTTTCAATACATCATATAGACCGGACCTGCTCAATTTAGTTTCAGCTCGTCAGTGTTTCTTTGCTGTTTGTGCAGTTTGGGTTTAAGGTTATCCCAGCTGTTCCATCTTGTGTTTTTCAAACAGCGAGCTAAAGTTGTTTACTTTGAAGTTCCCCGTGTGAAGGTTCGGGTTCCTAAACTTTAAAATGGCCACGTGTGAATTTTCCCCACAAAAAGATCAGAATTGGCATCCCAGAACGACGCTCAAAGTGACCTCAAGACTTGCAGGTATGGCAACCTTGGCGTTTTTTCCTTGAGACTCAAGGATCGAAATCTGCAGGCGGTCTTGAACTCTACAGAGTGGGAGTGGATTGTACACATCACTGGAAGATCATGCAGAAATCAATTTCATCATTGCCTTTAGGAGTAGCGACCCTTTGTCGAACAGGCAATGGATCTTATCGCCTGCAATCAGAATGTCATGGCCGTGGGCTTCAAGAATATCTCCACAGAGCCGGACGTGTCCACAGCACCTCGGTTTGTCATCAACTTTGATCACAGTGGAGTGGCATCCCCACCTATTAGTTCTGTCCCTCCGTGGAAAGAAATAGCTGGTTGCTCCTTCCAAGAAGATTTTCTCCCATTTTTTCTCATGTAAGCAACTGTTCTGTGATTTTGAGAGTATCGTCAACCCCAGAATCTCCCCAGGAACCCCGCCTTAATCTGCTGGGAGCCACTGCCTGCCATGCCGCCTACATGCGTGGTGTGGGGGGCCTGGTCTTGGACAATGTGCTGCATTGGGAGCCCGGCTTTGTGTTTGTGAAGACCTTGGAAAAGAACGAGCTTGATAATGTGGCCACCATCTCCAAGGAGGTGTGGACAATGTCAAAGGGGGTGGTAGATTGGTAGATGGTGAGTTGTTTTTTTTGCAATTCCGACGTGAATATTTTGGAGGAGTTTGATCTCCTGGTGGAGCCCTACAACAAATATCCGGTGGTGAAGAGAATTTGCCCCTCCTGTGCAGCCACTCACACAGAATCTCAGACTAATTGGCAGGTCATAGGCTGGTCAGGGCTTGGTGCTTGGAATGGCGACAGCCCTTTCCTGGTCAAATTCCAGGTTAAGATCTTAGGTCCTAGGTTTGATCCACTGAATTCAACACCACCGTGCGGTTTCCTATGGTTTCCTCCAATGACCGAGGAAATCGTTTATCGCCGCTACACAGCCCTGAGTGGTTTCTCTCCATATGAGTCGCTTCTTGGCTGCACAACCATTTCTTGCCGGCTGCTGATTGTTGTTGTGAAGCAATGGTGGAAGGTGATGTTGAAGCGACTGGAATTATATGGAATTATTATGATTTAGATTGATTTTTAGTTTATAGTAAGATTTAACAATATGATTTAAACACAAATAACTTTTCGCTGCATCAATCTCAGTTGGGGCGTGTCCCAGGCAGGTAGATTTGAGGGTGGTTACATCATACATTGAGACAATCCCACCCCACCGGAGTTTGTACTATCGGACTATCAGTATCGCAGAGAAGTGCACTCGGACTGTTTGTGAATGGATTTTGGTGGTCAACCCTTTGTGTTTCTTTTCCAGAAGGCAGATCTTTGTGGGATAACAAACGAGACAGAGAGGCCTATCACCAAATGCTGAGGATGGCATGCTCTTGGGGTGAAGATACGAAGAATGTGGAGGGCAAAGACTTCAAGCTCTTCAGCAATCTAAACGATGCCTTCGGGGACGGGGGGGTCCTGGGGAGTCGCTGGGGAGTCGAGTGGTGAGTCGGAGCAACCCCAGTGTCAAATTTGCAACAGCTGCGGTTTTGGAGTTGGAAATAGTTGGAACCACCGGCAAATATGCTGCTCTGCAGCCAATGGGAAACCCCAAAAGGCCCTGCGGAGATTTGTGGCGTCAGGATACAAAGAAGTGGTCCGTTTGTAGCTACAACAGCTCAAGGTGCCTTGTTGCCCCCAAAGTCCCAAGCTTTTTCGCCGGAGGTGACGATGGGTTTGAGGAATCAGGATGTATCAGGAACACTCCACAGAGTGTTGAGAAGATTCTTCCCGGATTTCTAGCGGCAGTCCTTTGAAGATGCTCCCTGCTTCCATTTCAATCCCTGCTTCCTGCCGTCCAGGGGCTTCCCCGGTGAATGTGGCCCTACCAGCTTGGTAAGCGAGCAGTGGAACAGCATTCCAGTGAATGCGGGAGTAGATGCAGGCTGAATCCGATGACGCAGAATGGGGTGATGGGGTAGGAGTTGGCTGTTTGGCCAGGTTTCAGATCTGGGATGCCTGCCGCAGAATCTAGGATTATTGGGGAGTAATCAAAGCATCCAATGTGGGCGGTGCTCAGATTGGACTCTCAACCAACTGGGTTGCATCAGGCAGTTCTGACGGCAAGTGCACCACTGATGTGGGTGCCATGGCTGTGATTTGCAGGGTGTTTAAGGGAGCAGGGTCCCAAAAATTGACTCCATACCATACTGTACACAGATACATGGGTTGTATTCTCTCTCAACTCAGCCTGCACGAAAGCAAGCCCAAACACCTCGGAGAGATCTCCCGAGTCGGCTCAGTTCACAGTTCACTTTCGAAAGGTACTCCATTGGCTGCATGTGCTGTCTTGCTAAGGTGGTCGTGCGGCGAGCTTCTACAATTTCTTGCCCATTGTTCCACAGAAGTTCAGGCAGCAGCTGATAGATGATATGTGTGAAGGGCTCTTCATCTTGTGGAGTGGGACCCAGCACCAAGAGCCATAGTAGATTCCATCAATAACTTCTCAACAGGATGCGTTCCATATCATTCCGTTTTGCTTGGAAATTAGTTGGACCAGTATCACTACTATAATTTGTGATTTGTAGTTACTTTCACCATGCTGAACACACTTGTTTATAACATCATTAGTATATAGTTCTACAATTATCATAGTTATTTGTGAAAAAACACATACTTATTGCTATCTACAATTATCATTCCCATGATTCTACAATATCATTGATAATATCATTATTTACAGTACTTATTTACATTCCTCAGCTGAGAATTTCAGTGGCCAGCTTCGCCACGCGAGGCTCGGCCTCTCAGTGGATCAAGATGGAAAGATCACCAGCCTGGGCGAGGTCGAGTTCAATCGACGCTTCCAGCAGAGCAGGTGGGGAAACGATATTTTTTTTATGGTGTTTTTTTATGGTGATTCTATGGTGGTTTTTATGGTGCTTGTAGTTTTATGGTGATTGAGCACACTGACCAATGAAGGTTGTTGGTTATGAACTAGGGGGTTGTAGTAGCTGGTTTGTTGGGGATAGGTTAAGTGTAAACCATGATAATAACTATTTACCAACCAGTAGGGATGGGATGGGATAAGGGGTATACTTCATGATTCAGCTTACCTCGGAAAGTTGGAGTGTGGAACTGCTGAGCTGTTTGGGACAAAGTTTGAATCCACAATGCCTCAGAGGCTCCAGGCAAAGCCAGCATATTCACTGTGATTTTCAGTGGCATCTGACTCTGGTGCCTGTTAGTTAAGGTTTGGACTGGCCACCTGTGGCCCATACTTGTCGCAGATATGGATGCCAACACTTCAGAGAATTCACACATTGCTTAGTGTTGCAGGTATCATATCATCTTGCGGACGTGCCAGAGTTGTAGGAAGAGCCACAGGCGCATCTGAGGGACGGGTGCTTGGAATCCTGATTATGGCAGCTGTAGCCCTTGAAATCTCCTTTCAAGCCCAAAAGCTACATACATGTACTCATCGCCCACCCATTTGGTCACGTGTATTTGCTTTGAACTGACATGTTATTTTCTATACTTCTCGCTGCAAGTGCTCACAAAGCAACGTTCGAGTGTGAAGTTTGGGCCACAATGTGTGGGTTTTCCATTTGCTGCAATGTTTGTTTTCGCAGCATTTGGTGATTTTGCAACAGCTGTTTGGTGTGCCAACTCCAACTGTCCCTGGGCGAAGTGATGCAAAGTGGAATGTCAAAGGCACATCTTCTATCGTCGCCTCACCAGCACCGACACCTACGAGCCCTTCAAGTCCCTTGCGTGCGACTGGCAGGCAAACCACACCAGGGTTTGCTTTCGGGGCCGCTGTTTTCGACTTCATTCATTTTTGCAATAAATCCGCTCCTGCTGGGAATAGCACGGACATTGTGGCTGTTGTCCCAAGTCCCTGGTCAGCCACGGACCGCAAATGGAGTCTTTGTTTTGCGATGCTCAGTCCGCTGCCGACAACATCTTCTTGGTGGATTTCAAGCTCTACAGCGATCTTCAGGAGTTCAGAAGGGGAGTGATCAGCCTCACGGATGTTGCACGTGTGTTGTTTCTCACTTTGTGTGTTTTCTTACATGTGAATTCATTCACTTTTTCTCTTTGCATCGGCTGTGCAGCTGTGCAACGGCGGGAGTGACCCCGCAGGATGCACTGGCAGACAACAATCCCTGGGACTTCTGTGGCTTTGATGGTACGCCACGGATGGAGCACGGTCTTCTGGATGTTCAACTCCGATCACTCTAACTTTGTCAGGGTTGATTGCGAGCATCCTTGACACTAAAACGTTGAGCCTGGCATGTACAGGAGAAAGGCTTCGAATAATTCATAGTCCTGGTATGCTTTCTTTTCTTCAAAATATGTATTTTTCACTTTGCACAAAATGGGTTTATCCAAAATAAAGAACCCCATTCATCCACTGCAAAATCTGTAGACATTCCGGATTCACATGGCCATATTTTTGATTCTATGTCCCACAACGATCCCACGCCAGGCTCCGGCTTTCCAGGCAGTTGCAGCTCTGAAGGGAAGGCTGGGAAGGGTGGGGTTGAAGATTGTTTCTTCGTCAAAGTCGGTATGGCGCTATGACTGACGGTTATAGACCGAACACATTCGCTGGTATTCAAATATATTTGATTCATAGTTGATACTTGATACTTTTCAAGACAAAACCTTACCATGTTTGTGGGTCCATTGCTAGGTTTGCAGATGTGAAGTGTGAAGTCGTGACCCGCAGCCAGGCACGGACAGGGCAGGCCAACTACATCCCAGTGACTGGCTGTGAAGCCAACGTGACTGGCAACAACGTGACTGGCAAGGCCGTGACTCGCCAAGTTGTGGGCACTTCAGCACCAAACAATGGGAATTCAACCAACATCAACCAAAAACAGTCGTTCGGAGGCCATCAGTTCGATCAGTTGCCAACTCGGCGTTTAAACGGAGGCCGTGACCTTTGAGCTCTTTGAGGATGAAGAGATGGAGGTGGAAGAGCTCCAAGCAGAGGTGGCCTTTGATTCACGGACAGCAATCCCCCATCTTGATATCTACAGGTCTTCAAGGGCTGTTTCTGCGCATAATATGTGGTTGTATGTGTATGTTTGTATATGTACATATAATTACATATATATATATATGTAATCTCTGCCCCCGCAAGATCAAATACCCCCCCCTAGAACCCCGGTTTAGTATTGGATCTATTTATTTTGAACGGATTATGGGAGAAATTATCCTGCGATCCCGCGACCTGAACATCAGGGTCTTGAGATATCACCATGAAGTAGAAACATGTAGAAACTACCCTGGCAATCACTCCTTGTTCAAGAAACGAGTCAATATCATCGACATGCGTAAATCAGGATCAAAAAAAACAAGAACAAGAGATACAGCGGATCAACAAATGGGAAGTTGCGAAAACCTTCAGACTTCTCACGTCTCCATCATTCTTGTGGATTGTTTCAGCCTTAAGACATCTTGGGGTCATCTTAAGACTATCACTATTGAGATTGTTGACACTTGCCAGCTTTTTCTCGAACATGTCTAGAAAGGCAGCAGCTTTTCCCCACAGTTTACCCATGATGTGGCGAGTTTCACAGTGAAAGGCGGAGGAAGAAACGGAGGAGGTCAGAGACGCGGTACTGCCCTCGGGTACCGTGGCGGCTGAGGGCCTAACAGCCTGGTTCAGGAGAATTTGGGTGATCAGACGTCAGTGATAATCGTAATACCATCTTGATCCACAATGATCATATTTCTTGATCAGTTTATTTGATATATTATATATAAACAATAACATACATATTAATTACATAATTAATAATATCATGTATATACACATGGATATTACATAATTATGACATAATGTGTGTATATATATATATATATAATCACGGATGGGATAACCATCAAGCAGATGGATAGACATGGAGGATTTTTCCATTGCCATACTAGATTAGCGGAGGGTACCTTAATACCATTATCACTTGTCACTTTTTTTGTTCATAGCTACTGAAAGAACTGCTTTTGGAATTGGATAATTGCAGCGAAGTGCTGCAGGAGCGAGGACGCAGGTCCAACTTGGAAGAGCTCTGTGGGATCCTTCAAGGTGCCGGAAAACCTGGGCGGAGTCAGGGCAGGTGAACCGCACAGCTTCGAAACATGACTGACGAGAGCAGAGTGCTGCAAGGCGGAAGTGAACAACGGGCTTGTGCGCTCGGGCATGCGGCACTATGGGGCTGAGATGAAACACATCTATGGCGACAGCCACTTTGAAGCACTTGATGGGCCTGCGGGGTTCATGTTGCGGCACTGGGATTCTTGTCATGGTGGTTCAGAGTGGATTATGTCTGCCCAGAACCAGTGGACAATGTAGGCTGGATTCCTCAAGTATCCATACACCCAGCAAAACAGAGGAGAAGGCGATGACTGCCTTAAGTTTTTGGGATCTTCTAAGCTCGCGAGGCCAAGCCAGCTTCGGCTTTGGCGACATCCTCCCCAGCACCTACACGTCTCTCAGCATGTGAAATTGGGAGATCTTTTTGGGGTAATTAGTTGATGGGTTGGCGAACATTGAGTAGATGTTCTGGGATGTCTTACGGTGCTAATCTCTGGATTCAATGAGTGAGGCTAGATATCTACCTTTTTTTTGACCTTTTTTGCAGACTATTTGTGTGCTTCTCACCTTGAAAATCATATGGAAAATTAGGGGAAGTGGGCCAGATATGGTCAGATTGCCATGTTTGACCATCAGTGTTTCCTTCAGGATTTGCTCCCTGAGCGCCTACACGGGCATTGCACAGGGAAAAATCCTCCGGGCAGAGCCGCTGGGGCTGAAACGATGGATTTGGGGGTTCCAAGTCTGAGATCTGGGTCGACAAATTGCAGGCATACGGTACTTGAGTTGAATTGGTTCGAGACTGATGCAGATGCACCCCAAGAGAACATGTTTGTTGGCGAAACAATTTTTCTTAGGTCCTGTCGCTGAGGTCAGCAGATATTTGCAAACTGCAAATGCTGCAAATAGGGAAACAATACGTCGGATACACGCAATTGATCAGTTGCCAAGTCTCATGTATAGCAACCCCCAAAAAGATAGAAACGTTGGACACCTGAAAAATATGAAGGAAACATCATCTAGAATGACCTGCCCAATTTTTCAGATCTCATTCTGCTTTCTCCAGCACTAGCCACGCCCAGGGAGTGGTGGCACGGCCATGCCAACGGCATGGCGGGCAGCGTCTTCTATGGAGGGAAGTGGGTCAGGAACGAAGAAACTCTGAATGGAACTCGGAGTTGGATAGCCTCCTGGCTGAACCAGCTTTGGCAGCAGCTGGCTCTAGGTTTGTGTGGTACCTTTTCGGTTGGTTGATGGTTTTCTGTGCGAATCCTTATCGACCAGGGTGAGGATGGTAGGGAATGGTGGGATTTGCTTTGGCCAATGAATTATATTCCATCACATTTCCATCGTCCAAGTCTGAGTCCGAGGCTCTTTGCGCCTCCAATCAGCAGGATTACGTCTTCTTGGATGGCCCGGTTTCCCAGCGCTGTGTCACCTCTTGAATAACATGGGAACCCTGGAAAAACGAGCATTACATCTTGTTACTCTTCCGGGTATCAGGATGAATTAGAGGATGAATCAGCTTGAGGTTTACTTTCTGGGATTGTACATCAGGATGGTTCATTGTTGTTTGAACATCATACGCCCCTAGAGTTGTGTTTCTAAGTTGGCTAAAGCCTTCTTTTTCGGCTAAGGAAATGGCGAAAGTTTTTTTGATGGTTCATCAGTCTAGTGTAGAATTGCTGGCAGGTTGGTGTTGTGGGAAGCTTACGGAGACTGGGTGGAATGGTTGTGGAGACTATAAAATTCTGTAGTTATCTGCAACTACACCTCTAAGTGGGATCCAGGGTGCAATTTTCATCAATTTTCAATGATTTTGACACAACGCCGAAAGTTTCCCAACAGTTTCCCGAAAGTGTCCTGAAAGCAGTTGAGAAAATTCAAGTGTCTTTCATGCCACTGTAGAGTCGATTTCCAGGCAGATTGAATGCGTCCCAGTAAGATAGTAAGAATGATAAGAATGTGGATTGAGGCATGCTTGCTAGAGTTAAACATGAACTTCGCGAAAGTGTGGCCGAAGGATTTTTCTAGCGAATGACGTTTCAGGATGAAAACAATTAATTCAATTCCATACCTGAATCTGAGCAAAGTTCATACATGGCCTTGCTGGATGACCCTTGATACCAGCCCATCCCATTCGCAGATGTCCCAGGTGTGCAGCGGGCTGCCAACTTTGTGGGAGTTGGTGGACATAGTTTGGTTGGAATCAACGATGGACCCAGAAAGGAGCATTCCGACTGGGCCCTTGCCGAAGTCATCACCTGGGATCGTGTCCTGACCCGACGCTTGGCAATACCTTGGCAGGGGTAGCTATAGAATAGGCCCCAAATCATGGGGGATAGAGCGGATAGGCAGTAAAAGTGAGGATATGAGACAACAACTACAAGAATTAGACAATTATATATACAATTATGGGAATTTCTTGCAGTGGATGATGGGGATCCTCATTCACCGAGCTGTGCTCAGGTACTGAGATGGTGGAGGTGCAGAATTACCTCAGAGCCAAAGCCAAGGTTTGTCAACCAGAGCAAGCTGCACAGTTTCTTGGTGGCAGGGTTGGTGGGCGGGGGGTTGGTGGATGGCATGTTCAAATGGTGAATTGGGATGCAGTAGTCCAGTTCACAGCAAGGTCATTAAACTGGATAGAAAATTCGATGATTAGGCAGGCAGGGTAGATGTCTACGTTGAAGCCCGGACAATATTTGTCAGTCCAATACAGTCCAATATTATAATATATATATATATTTTTTATTATAATATATATATATATATTTGATATCTATCTATAGAGAGAGAGAGATTCCCTGTTAAGGCGTGGTTTCACTGGTAGGTGCACTCTTTCGGTATCCCCCAAAAACGGTCACCTCTGAGAACTGCCTCAAGCCAGGTGCGATAGTGCACCTTGCGTGTCTTTGTTTGTGGCTTGGAGATTATCAAATGGGATGGGTGGGTCAAGAGGATGGCTGTTGTGGACAAATAGGAAGATATAGAATCCTTGAATTTTGGATAGGACATGCAATGATAGAGCCTCCTTGCTTCGGAAGAGTGACCCAGGAAAAGATGTGATAAGCAGAGGCGGCAGACTAGACATGTTCAGTGTTTGTTTTACTTTGCTGGGGAAGTTCAAGAATTGAGCGCAGAGAGAAACCGGTCATCGCGTGCTGATTGCCTCCAAAAAGGCGTAATAAAGGTATTGCGTGCGAGGGATGTGTACATGTTTGCTGCTGTATCCCGACAGCAAAGAACTGGAGAAGGAAGAATTGGCAAGGCCATTATCTTATATGATATATAAACATTATAATAATCTATAACATATATGTATATTATTATATTGTATTTTATTATATTATATCATATTATATTATATTTTATTATACTATGTTATATTATATTATAATATATTATATTAAATTATATTACATTATATTATATTTTATTTTATTATACTATATTATATTACATTTTATATTGTTATATACATAATATAATATAATATAATATTATATATTATTATATATTATATGATATTATATTATATATTATATTATATTATATTATTATATTATTGTATTATTATATCATTATATTATTATATCATTATATTATTATATTATTATATTATTATATTATTATATTATTATATTATTATATTATTATATTATTATATTATTATATTATTATTACTATATTAATATATTATTATATTCTTATATTATATTATATTATATTATATATCATATCATATTATATGACATTATATTGTATTATATTATATTATATTACATTATATATCATATTATATTACATTGTATTATATTATATTATATCATTATATCATATTATATTATACTATATTATATTATATTATATTATGTTATATTATATTATATTATATTATATTATTATATTATTATATTATATAATATATTATATTATATTGTATTACAATATATTGTAATATATATAATATACATATAATGTTATACATAGTATATATATACACATAATATTATACATATAGTGTGTATATCTATAATATTATACATATAGTGTGTAGATCTACAATATCATACATATAGTGTGTATATATAATATATGATAACGTGTAATAATAATAATGATTAATAATGAATAATAATAATGATAATAATGATAATAATGATAATGATAATAATCACAATGATTACTGTATATTAATGATAATAATAGTAATAATAATACTGTATGTATTTACGAGGATGAGGAAGCCATTGAACAGAAAATTCTTCTGCAGATTAGATTTTAGGAACATAATATGTTTTGTGGTGGAAGTTACATCCACACGACAGTGGGCAGCATTGGCTACATCTTGCCAGCAACCCTCGTTTCAAGGTCGGCCCCAACAAACACAACGTCATCTTCCGCAACGCAGATGGCACGGCCACAGCCAGTTGGATGCAGTGAGAGTCAGCTCAGTTGGTGATCGAACCCCTGGGCCAGGGCACTGTTGTTTATCTGAGGTCAAAACCTACCTGGGAGCAGAGATTCCTTGCATTTGCAAAGGCCATGACAACTCATGGTGGGCGAGCGGCAGCTGAAGAATACCTGATTGGAGTTGAGTGAAGTCTGTATACATCTATGACTGCCAGTAGTTAATAGCAGACTGACGTTCAGACTGTTGGCCTGTTGAATTCTAAACACTGGAGAAATTGTCATGTTCCTGCGCAGACGTGACATGAAAAATCATGAAAAATTGGATACCCCGATACCCCCAAAACGGGAGAGTTTCTCGCAGCGATGGGCACAGGTCATTGCTTGGGCCTGGTGGGTTCCTGGCGATGTGATGGCGGACCCTATGGAGGGTACTACACCATCACTCCTGGCTATGCCGATGACTGGACGCCTGAAACCAACCGGGACAGCATTCTCTTATGTACGGTTGCAAGGCTGGCTAACAAGCTGTCGAGATCTTGCAGCAAGATTCCCGTTGACAGGTTCATTCTTTCAATCTGGAGATTGTGATAGAGACGAGCAACGATGACAAGTTCCCCAAATCATATTAAAACCCATCAGATACGATCAGATACGTGGGTTTGTCTGAAAAAAAATATGTAGGTGCCCCAGAATTTGATGGTTAGTCTTTCTTTCCCTTTCAAAATGGCCATAACTGGGCCATAACTGGTGGTTTTCTCATTTTCAGACGAAGCCACATCTGGAGCTGCTTCACTTTCAGCTCCCTGGCAGGCCCATCTGGAGGAAGAAGGGCGAGTTCAGCAGCATGGCACTGGAAGTTGGCAATGCGAAGACCATGCTGCAGGACCCATCCAGGGCAGGTTTTCTTGCGGCAGGGAGCTTGGCAGGTTTAACGGATTTTTCACATGGGATGTCAAGTTTCACTCATCCATTTGATTGACGATGTTTAGATTCAATGAATTCAATTTAGTATATTTTCAATACTTAACCGACTTAACCGACTTAACCGACTTAACCGACTTAACCGACTTAACCATCATTTAACCATCCATTTGGAGGTTGATCATCGTGGTCATCGTGACGCTGATCCCAGCGGAACCCCCACAGGAGACCTCATTTTCTTTGACTGCCACAGTCCGTCGAGACAGTGGCGGTGGTCCACTGAAGCTTGCAGACAAAGTGCCCTTAAAGTGAGGTGGGTTTGTCTAAAACTTGAGGAAACTTCACTGGAAAATCTGGAAATCTAATTAATTATGGTTGCAAAATATCAGTTTTCCCATGAACATAACTGAA